GCTGGGGATTTGGGGAAGGGGCGGAGTTGAGGCGGGGCTGGGGGTGGGGTAATTAAAGAACAGGGGGGGGCCAGGGGAGCAGCCCAAATTGGTTTTGCTTTGGGCGGCAAAAATCCTAGAGCCGGCCCTGGTCTCCCTGCTTTCGTATTATCGTGTTTCTTTTACCCCAGCCCACCAGAAGAGGCGATGGTGGTCAGCTAACGTGAATGATTGTTATCCCCAGGCAGGGCAGCTCCATTCCTTGGCTTCCCTACCCCCCATCTCCCAATAGAGGAGTTGGTTTTTATTGCAGTCTGGGGAATTTGACTGCACCAAAAAAGACTGCAGCTCTGCCTGAAGATACATGTGAATCTTGTGCTTTAATGCCTGCTGAACCTGTGCTGGGAGGTGCTGAGCATCTGCCGCTCCTCCAGCCTCCAGCTCCCAGGACATGCTCAGCAGGAAGCAGTGCCTTGATCCCGGGCAGGTGGGAGGCCCAGCAGGCCTGGCCTGGAGCCTTTGCAGGGAAAACAGGGTTGGTGCGGATATAGCCCTGCTCTGGTGTATGTAGACAAAGATCTACTGGTGACAATGGCTGCTGGGTCTGTTATTAATGTCTTGATGAACTGTGCTAAGTGGAAGCCATCGGTAAACATTGCTGATTCCGCTCAAACCCTGGGGAGCACTAACAGGAGACAGCAGGGCGGGATATGGGCCCCACGCACTTCTGCAAAACCCATCTGGCCTCCTGCATGCAGAGATTTTCAACAGGTCATAAACCAGCAGGGCTGACTCTGGGCCACGGGGTGTCAAGTGCTTGTATAAACAGGAGTGGTGCAATCACTGCCCTTCCCTCAGTACTAACCATCAGCAGAGCCCCTGCGCCAGCCAGCTTGCTCCTGAAGAAAGTGCTGGTTTCCGTGCTAAATGTGGCTCCTGGGGAATGCTAAGGGAGTCTGCAGATCTCATCTATTTTGAGGAGAAACCACAGACTCCTTTTTGCCTGGTGGGAGGAACATGAGCCCCTTGCATCAGAGGGGGAAACCAGTGAGATCAGCCACAAAAAGCCGAGAGAGAGATGCAGAGGAGAATACAGAAGTCAGACACTGAACCAAAGTCATTCTTCCAATTCAAGAGCTACCAGAAGAATCTGCGACGCCCGGCTCTCTCCCGCCGAACGCGCTGGGCGAGGAAAATGCTGCCTGTTTGCCTTCTTCTTGCTGCTGTATGTCTGCAGGGGAGCCTGCTGCAGGAGGCCAGGTCCAAGGACCAGAGAAAGCCATTCTTTGAAAGGTTTAGGAGACTCGAGGAGCAGGTGAATATTCGTGACTCTTTGCTATTGAACAGACGGGGCCAAATCCTTCTAACTTCAGTAGGAGTCAGACCTACTTACTCCAAAGGGTCTGCAGTGTATCCCTCCGATATCAACGTGTCTACCCACGTGCAGGGCCGGCTCTAGGTTGTTTGCCGCCCCAAGCAAAAAAAATTTTGGCTGCCCCCC